ACTTCCAGGTCCCAGAAGGAGCCTGGCAGCCATCCTCAGGCACACAGTGGGGCAGAAATCACTTCAGTTTGGCTCTTCTTCCCAGAGATATCAGCTGTGGTTAAATTTCTCTTTTTCTTTCAATTCCATCACTATTTCCTAAATAATTTTGAGGAGGGGAGAAAATTCAACAGTTTCAAATTCAGATTTAAGAAGACCAAGTGTTGAGTGCTGCCTTTGGGTCACAACAACCCCAGGGAGCTCCAGGCTGGGCAGAGGGGCTGGAAAAGGCCCTGGGGGTGCTGGTGACAGGGGCTGGACACGAGCCCAGGGGTGCCCAGGGGGACAAGAGGCCCCTGGCAGCTGGGCTGGATGAGGAATTGTGTGTGCAGCAGGAGCAGGGCAGGGATTGTGTGGTGATCACTGATCCTCTGAACAGACAGAGACACAGTTCTCTGCCAGGATTTTCCTGGGAAGCTGTGAGAAGCTGTGAGAAAGTTCAGAGAAGAGAATGAGAAACAATTCTTATCTCCATTTGCTGCACCTGTTGTTGTGGACATGTAGAATGTGTTATGGAGATTATTTACCAAAGAGTGATTTCTTAATTAGACACTGGATGGTGTTTAGAGGGATTGGCCAATTAGGTCAAAGCTGTATCAGACTGTCAGTAAGGGTTACAAACTTCTTAGTAAGATAGTATAGTACAATAATATAGTATAGCTTAATGAAACAATTGATCAGCCTTCTGCAATCACAGAGTCAATGCTAATTATTCCCTGTTCAGGGGACCATAACCACAATAGGATTGTCCCTCTGTGCTGGCTCTGAGAGCCCCTCCAGGGCTGGGCCCAGTTCTGCTCCTGCAGGAGAGCCCTGGAGGGGCTGGAGCGTGTCCAGGGCAGGGAACGGAGCTGGGCAGGGGCTGGAGAATCCCTGAGGGAGCTGGGCAGGGGCTGGGGCTGGAGCAAAGGAGGCTCAGGGGCCCTTGTGGCTCTGCACAAGTCCCTGCCAGGAGGGCACAGCCGGGGGGGTCGGGCTCTGCTCCCAGGGCACAGGGACAGGAGCAGAGGGAACGGCCTCAGGCTGGGCCAGGGCAGGCTCAGCTTGGACAGCAGCAGCAATTTGCCCATGGCAAGGGAGCTCAGGCCTTGGCAGGGGCTGCCCAGGGAGCTTTGCAGTGCCCAGCCCTGGGGGGATTTGTGCAGATGTGGCACTTGGGGACATGGGGACTGCTGGACTCAGCATTGCTGGGTCAGGGGTTGGACTCGATGACCTTCAATGTCACTTCCAACCCAAATGATTCTCAGATTCTACTGATTTTAACTGGAAAAGGAAGCAGCCCCCCTGACACATCAAAACATTGATGCATTCACAACCAGAAAGGCAAGCAAACACACGAAACGAAAATAGCAAAATTCTTTACTAATAAAATATCAAACATGGAACTGCTGGCTCAACACTCTCATGTTTTATGCAAATAATACAAACGTTGTCACGCCTTTGAAATGAACATTGCATTGTCACCTGCACACATCCAGGAGGAGCAGCATCCCTGTCCCATCCAGCACACCCCAGGAGCCCTTTTGTCCCCTTCCACTCTGAATTAAGGCCAAACTTCCATTGCAAAAATCCACTTCTGTATTTTCAGAAGTGCCTGGGAGGGTTGTGCCTCCTCAATAAGTCTGAGTCAGAGGAGCTGTGAGACCAAATCCTTTGTGCACAGATTTGAAAACCCTAATTTAAACTGAGAATGTGTTAGTTGATGAATTAGGGTTGTGGGGAAAAAAATGTATTAATTTTTATGCATCCAAAAACTGATCTTGGAAGAAATAGAGTGTGCTGAAATGCAACCAGCTCTGACACTGCCAGCTCTGCTGATTTCTGCACTCCTCCCCACTTAGAAGCAGTGCAGTAACTTTTACATGACCTTTTAAAAGCTATTCATTAAAAAAAAAAAAAACATTTAATGAACTTCTAACCCAGAATGCATAAAAACATTGGAGTAGTGCTCAACTTCTGCAGACAAACTGCCCCCAAATTGCCTGAATTCTTTTATCAGCCTATACAAAATTTAAAAAATAATTATATGTACACTGCAGTATTGTGTTTACAGTTCTACTTACATTTCTGATCGTTTTGTGATGGCCTTTCATAGGAAAATGAATCTAATTTTGCAAAAGGCCACTAATACTGTTTTGATTGTTTTAAAATTCATGATCTGAGGCCTCAGCTGCAAAAGCTAATTTAATTTAGCTGATACATATAAACTCACTAGCACAGTGGTTTTGTTTAAACAAATGGATTTGCCTTAGATGCAATCATCTGCTTTTCCTTAAATCACATTTTCTAGCAGGGTAACTTTATGTTTTAAGTAATTAATTACTCAATTAATATATTCTTATTCAAAGCAGCCTAGGGAGCAGGGGAAGGGTTTAGTCTGGAGAAAAGGAGGCTCAGGGGGGATTTCACTGCCCTCCATGGAGGAGTGCAGTGAGGCTGTGCTGGGATGGGGCTTGGTCTCTTCTCCCAGGTGAAAAGCAACAGGACAAGAAATGGCTTCAAGTTGCACCAGGGGAGGTTTAGATTGAATTTATGAAAAATTTCTTCACAGAAAGGGTGGTAAAGCACGGGAACAGGCAGCCCAAGTGGTGGAATCACTGTCCCTGAAAGTGTTAAAAAATGTGTGGATGTGGTGCTTAGGGACATCTTTTGGGGTTAATGGTTGGACTCAGGGAACTTGCAGGTTTTTTTCCCAACCTAAACAATTCTATGATCCTGTGAATTACAAGATCAGTTTCTCATTTACACAAAGAAAATCATTACACTGAGGACAATTCTGTGCAGCAACTGAATGCATTCACTTGGGAAACCACTCTGCAAAGAGGAGAGGAACAGAAAAATCCCTGAAAATCTGAATCCCTGACATTTCAACCCAAACTCATCTGCTCCTCAGCAGAGCTTCAGCAGGGACAAATGAAATAGTTCTGGACAGTCAGGGGACAAAACATCCTGAAGGCAGCAACAGAGGCATCCTGCACAGGTCACTGGAAATGACAATTCCACCTCCCTGGATGGTTTCAGCACCTTGTGTCAGGTCCTTGCTCCCAACCCAGCAGAGATGGGATTCATGGAGCCACAGAATGGTTGGGTTTGGGGTTAGGGTTGGGTTTGGGGTTAGGGTTGGTGTTGGGTTTGAGGTTGGGTTTGGGGTTGGGTTTGGGGTTGGGTTTGGGGTTGGGTTTGGGGTGGAGGGAGCCTTAAAGAACATCCATTCCCACCCCCTTACCACAGGCAGGGACAACTTCCACTGGAATTTAACCCCGAAAATACAGAGGTTGAGTCTGCAGAAGAACAGTCAGCAGCTGGATTCAAGTAATTTGGAATATTCCTGGACTCAAATAAAAGCCCCAGCCAAGAGGTCAAGCCACCTTCAAGGGTGACTTTTTTTGTGCTGATGCAAAGCCACAAACTGCTGGCACCAGGCACAGAGGTGGGAGTGAGACCTGCAATTGCCTGCAGGATTATTTCATTCTAATATTATTATTTTATGACTGTATTATTACCTGTGAGAACAAGAACAGAACATCAGGCTGATGATGCTGTCCCAGCTGACAGAGTTCTGCCCCTCAAGACAAGGAACTAGCAGTGACCAGGGTAAATTCCTTTGTGCTCACCAATTTTCCATAAATTAAAGGAATAACCACCTTGGGCACAACAGCAATGAATGGCACAAGATATTTCTGCATTTTACATGGAAAGAATAGTGATTAAAAGGATGTTGGCTTGGCTTTATCAGTCTGACCCATCATGCCTTCTGAAGGCAGCAAAAGTATTCAAATATAGCTGAATTTTAAGCAAAATGCAGCTATTTAAATATTTTAATTCGTTAAATAAAAGATTAAAATTTTATTGAAGAAGCTTAAAATGCAAAAGACCATTCTTCTGACTAAACAAAATTAACATTGTTTCTTTCATCATCAGTGGTCAAAAATAAGTGTGTGATCTCAGGTTACACCAGAGGAAAAGAAATTCTATATTATGACCATTATTAAACACTTCTCAGGATCTTCCTGCTGAAAATATTTACCCTGCTCTTCAGACACAGACAAGTAAAATGAGGTACTTGGAAAATCCTTGCCAAGAAGGAAAGGAAAGGAAAGGAAAGGAAAGGAAAGGAAAGGAAAGGAAAGGAAAGGAAAGGAAAGGAAGGAAAGGAAAGGAAGGAAAGGAAAGGAAAGGAAAGGAAAGGAAAGGAAAGGAAAGGAAAGGAAAGGAAAGGAAAGAAAGGAAAGGAAAGGAAGGAAAGGAAAGGAAAGGAAAGGAAAGGAAAGGAAAGGAAAGGAAAGGAAAGGAAAGGAAAGGAAAGGAAAGGAAAGGAAAGGAGGAAGTGGCGGAAGAAAGAAAGAAAGGAAGAAAGAAAGGAAGAAAGAAAGAAAGAAAGAAAGAAAGAAAGAAAGAGAGAAAGAAAGAAAGAAAGAAAGAAAGAAAGAAAGAAAGAAAAGAAAGAAAGAAAGAAAGAAAGAAAGAAAGAAAGAAAGAAAGAAAGAAAGAAAGAAAGAAAGAAAATAATCCTTCTTTTCAATGAAAAGAAAAGAAACAATAAAAATAAATAATTCCAAAATAATAAAATCTGTTTTCCTGCCTTTCTTCCAAGCTTTTACCGTGCTGGATGTTGGATCCCCTCAGCTCCCCTTGGGAACAGCTCCACTTTCACTGCTTTTAGAAAAAACCCTTCCCACAGACATTACAGGCATTCCATGCTGATAACACTGACCCCTGTTATCAGGTCTAACTGTGCCTGCAGGAAAATCAAACAGGACCATTGCATAAGGGAGGAGTTCTCAGCGCCTTTCTCCTCAGAGCCCTGAAGGATTTTTCAGCATCTGCTGTAAAGACCCCTCTCCTTATCTCTGAAATTTATAATCATCCCAGAGATTTCATGAGTCCTTGCCTGGGAATGAAATAAGAAATAGGGCTCCCAGCCTGAATGATTACTGAGCACATTTTCCACTATAAAAAGAGAAAACTCCTCCTGTCTTCTCCCTCACACACCCAGTTTCTCTTTGGGAAAAAAAAAAAAAAAGTCTAAATCACTGTAAGTGACTCTGGTTTAGCCTTGGCAAACCATTCACAGCAGCTCTCAGGCAATCAAAGTGAGACACAAATATAAAAGATGTCTCCAGGGTCTATTTCAATAGGAAGAGCAGGCGCCCTGCACTGGCTCCATCACTGGATTATTTTCAGCAGGAAGCACACACAAGGAAGCAGCTGCAGCAGCTTTTACACCTCCACCAGGTGACCTGCAGTGCCCAAGGTTGTCCTGAGAGTGTTGCATGGGCAAATTCTACCATCTCTGCAAAAAAAAAAATAAAAAATAAAAAATTGGTGTAGACTGAAGGAGGGATCTGTGCCAGGATGCAGCTCAGCCCACTCAGAGCTGGCTGCAAGGGCAGGGCTGCAGCTCCCTATGCCAGGAGGGAGCATCCTGACAGCTACAAATATCATCCCTTAAGTGCCTGCACAGATGGGTGCAGTAATTCATCAAGAAGATGCTGCAGATTTTATTCCCCGAACAAAAGTGCTTTGACTTTTTTCTCTTTTTGTTTGGCACAGCAGAAATGTTCCCAGGCCTCTGGCAGCAAGATTTGGAGTGGGTTAGCAGGCCTGGATGTTTCAGGAAAAAAAATTGTAACTTGTGTAGAGAAGGGATGCACAGAGGTGGGAGTGAATGGAGAGAAGGAGGTTTGCAGGTTCTTGGGCAGAAATAGGGAATTTTTTCACAGAAAGGGTGGTTGAGCACTGGAAGGGGCTGCCCAGGGAGGTATTCAAGGAATGACTGGATGTGGGAAGTCATTGCCAAGAAAGATTTGAAAAGAAAAGGAAAGGAAGGAAAGGAATGACTGGATTGGGAAATCATTGGGCACTGGAAGGGGCTGCCCAGGGAGGTATTCAAGGAATGATTGGATGTGGCACCCAGTGCTCTGGTTTAGCTGACCAGGTGGTGTTTAGTCAAAGGTTTGACTCAATGATCTTGGAGATCTTTTCCCACCTTAACAATTCTCTGATCCTGTGATTAAAACAACCATTTCTAAAGCCTTTGACGTGACGGAGCTGGAGTTAATTGGGATTTTGCTGGAGTGGGGAGCAGCCCTGGAAAAGCCCTGTTCAGTGGGGCGAGGTAGGTGCTAGAGCACTCCTCCTTGAGTGGCTGCCACCAAGTGGTTCCAGTAGCTCAGCTGCTCAGCTGGTTTGATTCCATGGCACGTCACGATTTTCCTGAAGCGAGGAACAGAGAACCTGATCCTTTCTGGGAAAAACGTCTGCTCCGAGTGAAGCTCCTGCAGCTGAATTTTTAATTTGTCCAGGCACAGCCCTATGAACACATCCTCCAGTTTAATGAAGGGAACACTCTCAGAAATGTTGTAGATGTGGCTGGCAACGTCGCTGGATAAAACATATCCAGTCCCTGAACAAAAGGGTGGGTAGGTTGCTCCTGGATACTCTTCCCTACTCACATACCACTTACTCCTTCTTGTCCTGATGGGGTACTCGTGCAGTTTTAAAAAGCCTGTGAAGAAGCCAGTGCTCTTCTTTTTCCTCAGGAGCAGCTCAGTGAGGTAAAACACGTTGACAAACACGTCCGTGTCGGTTTTCATGGCGAAGCTGGCCTGGGAACAAAACCTGTGGATCCACTCCATCCCCATCATGGTCTTCAGGGTCAGGTTGTAGTAGGTGTCAGTGAAGTTCTTCTGGATGATGTCTCTGTAGCTCTGGCTCTCAGCAGCCAGGCCAGCCTGCTGGGTTGGGTCCCCAGGGCTCCCCAGCAGGAACAAGGTCACCAGGCGCTTCCCCGCCACCGTCCTCTCCCTGCCCCAGCTGTGCCTGATGGCCATCCTGGCATCCAGCTGCTGGAACGAGCACGCCACCAGCAGCACAAGGAAGGGAGGGTTCTTGTGGCAGTCCACATCTGGGAGCTGGGAGAAGTTCCCCTCCATCCTCCTGAAGGTCTCCGTGGGGAGCAGGAAACCCTGGCTGCTCTCACAGAGCAGGCAGAAGTCGGTCCAGGTGTGGAAAAGCCAGAGGCTGGCACTGCTGAGCCCCACCAGGCAGACAAACAGCCTGAACTTTCTGGAATCCATCTGAAAAAGGAACAAGAAGGAGCAGCACATCCATAAAAATAATCACTGAGGTTCCTCTCAGTGCTCTGCTGCCAAGTCCCTGCACGGGGGGGGGGGTTTAAAGCCAGGTCAGCTCTAAAGGGAAGCTGCTGTTTGAGGGCACTCAGCCACCTGCATTTCTCCTCCTGTCACCCCCAGGAGATGTTCTGCTGGCAGATTCACACTTGGGCTTAACCTGAACCTGCCCTCCAGGCCAGTGTGTCCTCAGAAACCCACACAAGGGTGGTCCTTCCAACCCCCTCCCCATTTTCAGCATCCTACAAACCAGGTTTAGACCCACCAGGGCCAGAGAAGGAGCAGATTTATGTATCCATTTCAGAGGGCAGAGAAAAACAATGACAGTCTTTTGGTTTGTTGGGTTTTTTGGGGGGGCTTGGGGTTTTTTATTGTTTTTTGTGGGGTTTTGGGGTTTTTTTGTTTGTTCATTTGTTTTGGTTTGGGTTTGTTTTTTGGTTTGGTTTGGTTTTTTTGGTTTTTTTGGGTTTTTTTTTTTGTTTAAATACCATGTTTTTCCATTTGTGCCTGTGTCCCAGAGCCAGCAGCTGTCCCAGGGTCACACCCAGCCAGGTTCCTCTCATCTTCATCACCTTTACCTCCCGTGGGGCTCTTGCAGCAACCCAGAAACTGCTCCTGATCCTTTTGCTGGAGGGGCCATGAGTCACATTCCTGCAGTTGGGTCAGCTGCTCTGAAAAAGAGAAAAGAACCAAAACAGCAGTGGGTCATTGTTTGGATGTTTCAGCCTGTGCAGAGTTTGAGTGACTCACCAGGGCCTGCTGAGGTGAGGAGGGGCTTCTCCTATTCCCCTTCCTTTTTTAAGGGAGAAAGATCCAAACAGCAACAATGCTCACTCCTCCTTTAACCTTGTAAGAGATTAATGAGCTGGACATCTGGCTATAAATCTAATAGAAATTTTGAGTGAGAGAAAAACTATCAAAGCAACCCCCAAATCCTTCCAGTGCCGAAAATATGACACATGTCCATGAATTAACCTGGTGAGAGGAGTTTAAGGCTTGAGTTGCTCATTCCAGTGAGCCCCAGGCTCTCCTACTGCTGTTCTAGAGCACTAGGATGGGGCAGTTTTCACCAAGGCAAGGGCAGCCCTTCCACCTTCCCCCTTCTCAACGAGGAATTGTATCTGGCTCCCCACCTGAAAACACAGCAAACCAAGTTAACCATGCCCAGAACTGCAGATTTCATGGAAATATTATCTCTGCCTTCTGACCAGGAATGTTCTGTGGAGACTCCCCCAACTCACCCCAGTGCCTTCCTTTTGCTCAAATTCTCCTTGCCAGGCAATAAAAGGTTTTGCATTGCAGGATTTAAACTCATTTGAAAGTCCAGCCAGGTGTCCCTGGAACCAAATCCTGCTCATTTTACCCCCAAGAATAATCCCATTGACTTCAGTGGGGATTCTCAAAGCATGAAACAAGGAGAACTGGGGTCTTGGTTCACTGGAACTGCTCCCACAGTGAAGTGCATTTTTGCAATGATTCACTAATGAATTTTGACAATATTTCAAAAGTTCACATTGCTTCTGGCACTTAAATTTTAATTCACTTTATCCCTAAATAGAGTATTCCTCAGATCTGATTTTTCCTTGTATTTATAGCTCACAGTAGTTTTGTAATTAACTTTACAACTGCTTTAGTTAAATACATATGTAAAATTGTGTGAGATTATACCTATACAGTTATATTATATGTACATACAAAAAATTAAACAAAAATCTGCTCTGCATCTGTTCTCACATTTTTCAATGGCCTGGGAGGAAGCACATGAATGACCTGAATTGTGTTTTTAGGACAGGAAGGTGTTTTGAGGTTGACAATGGAGATGTAGAGAGGTTTTTTCCAGTCACCAGCTCACAGAAGACTGTTTAAAAGTCTGATATTTCTCTGTTACAGAAATTCCAGAACATGTACAAACCAAACACTGAAATGAGGAAACAATGGAGAGCAACATCCTGTTAAAACCCATTAAAACCTTTCCACAAATGTGCAAGGTGCCATAACACACAGCAACCATTTTACAAGATTTCAGTAGAATCAGACTGATGCAACATGACCATTACTTACTTCTGTTTCCAGCACTGGCAACAGATCTAAAAAAACTTGTAAAATGTCCTTGTTTTGGACAGCTGGGTGAGCAGCCTCCCACCTTTACCATTTTTTCTTTCCAGAACCAGATTGCCTTCCCCTCTCCAGAATCACAGAATCACAGAATTTCTAGGTTGGAAGAGACCTTCAAGATCATCGAGTCCAACCCATGTTCTAACACCTCAGCTGGATCATGGCACCCAGTGCCACATCCAGGCTTTTTTTAAACACATTGATGGATGGTGACTCCACCACCTCCTTGGGTGGATGATTCCAGTATTTGACCACTCTTTCTGTGAAAAACTTCCTCCTTAATTCCAGCCTGTATCTCCCTTGGCACAGCTTGAGACCATGTCCTCTTGTTCTGTCTGTTGCTGCCCGGAGAAAGAGACTGACCCCAGCTCAGCCCACGTGTGAAGGAGCACAGCTTATAGACACACAAACCCACACAAACACACACAGCTGGGCAATGCAAAGGCTGCCAAAGGCATGCAAATTTTGACTGCTTTATTTTAGAAGCTTTGCAAGTGGCACAGGCGTCCATGGATCCTCTCCCAGCAGGTCCCTGCGTGGGGATCAAGGGGTGGGCAGTGGCCTTGATAAGAAGAAGCATGGAATGGTTTGGGTTGGAAAGGACCTCAAAGCCCACCCAGTGCCACCTTCCACTGTCACCTTCCACTGTGCCAGGCTGCTCCAGCCCCAGTGTCCAACCTGGCATTCACTGGGAGAGCTCCAAGGGAAAGGGGTGACACACACACAACCAAGCTGCTTCCTCCTCTAGCCAAAGCCATTTTTCTTCAAAAACCATCCATTCAATCCTTGTTTTCCCATGAGCAGGGACGTTTCTGAACTCTAAAATTGTTCCTGAACACTAAAACCATTTTATATTAATGCAGTCAGGGCATTAACAGTTCCTTGGAGCACTGAAGTTTCTCTCTCAGGGAATTAAATCACCCTGGTGCTGTCTCCTTACCCCTGAGATGCTGAGCCCCCCTCCCATCCCCATTTTACATCAAAACAAATATTTCTGGTTTTAAATAAAGTCCTTTTGCATGACGAAATATTTGATTTTTATCCGCGCTCTCAGTCAAAAATCAGGGGTTTTAATTATCTCAATGCTATTTCCATCTCTTGTTGTTCCAACTGCAAAATATTTGCCAAAAATTTGCCTGTTTCATATCCTAGAGACTTTTCTTAGACTGACTGGCACTTCATGGGTCTCTGCAGCTGTGGCTTGCACGGAATCCTGGCACCAAACATGTGGGAGCTGCAGCCTCTTCTCACACTCACCTGAAATGAACACATAAAAAAACACTCTGCTCTCTCTCAGCAGCTTAAGGGGAGCTGAAATGTTTTATTCTCTTTGTTATTTACCAAATCCTTCCTTTTTCTTGAGACTGCCTCTTTTAGGCAAGTCACAACACTTTATTTTTCAGCACCAAGTGTTACAACAAGTAAACACAAACAAGTGAACACTCTGCAGTGGTTACAGATGACTCCACAAATGCATTTAGTAGCAGTTCCCAGCTTGGTAGCCATGAGTTAAGCCAACCTCATCCAAGAGTTTTCTTCTTTCTGCCACTCTTGTTTTGCTTTTTCAACCCATTTTTATCTGCTGGGCTTCAAACTCATCCCTGATGTAAGGGCAACCTTCTTGTCCTAGAATAGCAAATTTTTCCTTAAAAAAAAGAAGGCCATGTGGTTGTGTGGAGCCTCAACATGCATTGAGAACATATCCAGCAATTAGTGACATTTAATATTTTAGCTACTTGAAATTCTCATCGGAATTTTCATGCCAAATCCCTCAGTGAAACTCCAAAGGTGTTTTTGGTGAGCAAAGATTTTGGTGAGCTATGGAGATACATCTTACAGATATGAGTAATACTCCAGTTGCAAGGCTGTTCATTCTTTATCCTCAATCTCATTCTGGCTGGGGATAATAATTTAAGTTTAATAGTGTAATTCATTCTTTCTGCCTTTCTTGTGGCCAGCATGGAGGGTGTAAATCCCACTGGATTCCCAAGGCCTTGCTAATTTGTCCCACAATTCCTGCCATAAAACAAGACCTTCTGTCAGATGGCATTCCTAGAGGAGCTCCAAAGCATGGAAATAATTGATTTAGAAATATTCCCACTACTTCTTTTGCCATGCTGGTGCAACAGGGAAATGCTTCAGGCCACCCAGAACAGGGATCCACTAAAAGAAATTTACAGCTCTCTTTGCATGGAAGTTCTGTACAGCCAATTTACCAATAATCTCCAGGAGAGTTTCTACATTTTATGGCCTCTATCCCTACTTTATCCCCTCAGAAACTATTCCTTGTCCAGCAGGGGTGACTGCCCATACATCAGGGTGAAATTTAGAATAGAATACTCTGATTAACTGAATTTTTGTGCTATATTCTGGTTTAACATCTCTGCAGCTCTGTGGCTGTGACTGCTCACAAACAGCTGGGCCAGCCTTGGCATGAGGGAATAAATCAAAACATTTCACAGGATTTGGGAAGCCCAAAGCTGGAGACCTCATCAGGGCTTTTTAAGTCATTTGAAAGCAGCCTGAGTACCAGCAGGCCATATAATAAAGTATTTCTGTACTTAAGAGTATTTCTGTATTTAAAAGTATTCATGGCTACAAACTCTGTTTGGCTATTACCATATAAAATATTTAAAAGTCCAGACAAAGGGTGGACCAATAATCCAAAATTCCTTTAAATCTATTACAGTAAGTCATTCCAAAATTATTTATTTATTTATCTATTTATTTATTTATTTGCCTTTTTTTTTTTTAAGTGTGATTATGACTGTCTTGGGTAATTTAGCAATTTTTGGGTTTGTTAGCCATTTTATTAAACCATAGTTAGCCATTTTTATTAACCCAAAAATGCTCTTGAGTCTCGTACTAACTGAAAATCTTCACAATTCCTATTTTTGTCTGGCAAAATTGGAGTTCACCAACAACCTGTACCTTAAAATTTTCTTAATCTTAAGTAATGAGCCTTTTCAATGCTTTAATTTTAAAGGGCATTGGTTTTGTCTTACCAGGTCATTGTCTGATTTAATTTGGTTCTCACAGGTTCTGCTCTTTGATTTTCCAGGAATCTCCCTGGCCCACACAAAGGGGATTATTGCATCCTTAATTCTCTTTGGGATAGGTTCAGATGGGGAAGTCAGTATAATATAAAAATTGAAGTTTACCTTGAATTGAAGTATTTAGAATCAGGGATTTGAATGTCTCCTTCCTGAAACTTGATTTTTGCACTCAATTTTCTCAGTAAGTTTTTCCTTAATAACAGTTTTGGAGATTTAGGCAGGTACAAAAATTGATGGGTTATTTATAATTTTTCTAGTTTGAACTTCACTGGTTTGGAAAAGGGGCAGAATTCACGAGGTCCAGTGGCACCAACACTTGTGATGGAGGCATCCCTAAACTTCCCTTGCATTTAATACTGACTAATTGATATTTAATACTTGATATTTATTAATTGATATTTACTAATTGATATTTAATACTAATTGATATTTAATAATTGGTTCCTGTGCCTTCTAAAAATTCCAGGTTTTCATTTCTTGGGGTGGCTGTTACCAGAGGCTCTGCTGCTGCCATGAGAGGCTTTGGAGGAGTCCTGGGTTTTACCTGAGCATACTCCTACTTCCAATATTTATATTTATTTTGTAATTTGTGTCTTGATTAATTCCCAATCTTCCTAATGAAGATTGAGGAACTGAACCACTTCCCTTGTTACAGGACTCCTCCTTGGGGTTAAGAATTTTTGCAGTTTTCTTAATAATTGCTCTCATTTTCTGCTTACTTTTTTCCCCTTTCCTTTCCTTTCCTTTCCTTTCCTTGAAATTTCCTTTCCTTTCCTTTCCTTTCCTTTCCTTTCCCTTTCCTTGAAATTTCCTTTCCCTTTCCTTGAAATTTCCTTTCCTGGATTTGCACATTTTGAGACACTGCCCATGCAATATCAAGTAGTTTACCTGTATTAAAACCATCCATTTCTTGGATTTTTGGTAGTTTTATTCTAATATCATCTGAGCATTGTCCTATGAAAATAAGAGCCAGGCAACTTCTACCTTCCTCCCAAATGTTTTCTTATCTTTATTTCTCTCTTATCCGTGCCTGCAGCTGCCCTTTTCAGTTCTCCATGCACAGGATTTTACAGCTAAGTGTTAAACTTTCATTTTTCATTTACAATCTAAATGCTGGTTGCTGTTCCACCAAAATATTAGAAAACCAGGTTTCAAAATCGCTGTTTTAAAATACCAGAATGCCAAGTTTTAAAATACCAAAGTAACACATATTTAAAATATTCAAATACTAACTTCCAAAATACCAAAGCAACCCAGTTTCAAAATATTAAAATACCAAGCTCCAAAATACTAAAATAATTCTGCCTCAAAACACCAGAAAATCAAGCTTCAAAATATCAAAGTAACCCAAGATATTAAAGATATTAAATACTAAAATACCCAATTCCAAAATACCTATTGTCAGGTGTCTTATGTGGGCAGGATTCCCAAACTCAAGAGAATGCCTCAATGTCACAGTGGGATCCTACCTGTGTTCCAAAGGAATCTGGGGGAATCTGGGATTTTCTCCAGGAAAGTGCCAGCATGGAAAATCCCAGAGCCTCAGGGGACACCAGGCAGTTGTCCCGTGTGGGTTCACCAGAAATGGCACCAAAATTGGCAGGAATAAACTCTTCTAACTTTCTTTCTGTTGCTTCTTTTTACATAATTTGCCAAAAACCCACTGGAGGCCTCTTTATCTGTTCCTCCAGTGATCCCAAACACGTTTATCATCCTCTGGGCACGCCTCCACATTATTTTATACAGAAAACACATCATTTTAGTTAGCTTTTTGTTTGCCAGTCAGTCTTTAAGCTCTCTTCAGCAGCTGCAGGGGAGGTGGAAATGTTTGTTCTCTGTGGTTTTTATCATTGGGATCCCATGAAGAAGGTGGCCCCAAGGTCTGGGATCCCAATCCAAAACAGCAACACTCTCTATTTTGCAAGTTCCTATTTCCACCAGAGGCACAAACTCTGTCCTTCCCCCTGCCATGGGTTGGTTTTGGGGTCCCTCTGTTCACACCTCTGACCCTGGTGGAAATCCTTTGTGTTTCCCAGACATCAAGCCATGGTTACTCCTGTGCCAAAACCGAATTACTGCATCAGAATTAACCTGACATCTCCTTTAATGAGTGTAATTATCTGAAGAGCTCCAGGAGATGAGGGCTGTGTGCCAGAGAGCTCAGGGAAATCAGCCTGGCCTGAGGCAGAGGCAGGGAAGTAGGTCTGGAGTCCCCCTGGAAATACCAATCTTAAAAAGGAACTTTTCTTACCTTTTCTGGGGCAGAGCTGCTGCCAGGCTCAGCTGCTGATGTTCTGCACCCAGGTCACACACATCAGCCAGGGAAAAACCCAAACCACAAATCAGCAAAACTGCTTTGGGCCACCTGCAAAAGTCCTTGCTTTGTAAAAGGACTCAGCTGCAGCCCCAAAATCAGAGGCACCACTCAAGAGTGGGACCAGGAGCTCCAAGCTCAGATCCTGCACAGTTAAAGTCAGCAGGGCTATTCCCTTTTGCCTTTCCTGATCACTGAGTGGAACATATGCCCTGCTATAAGGACTGGTAAAAGCTGCTAACTCCCAATTTTCCCTGGAATAAAGCCCCTAAATTGCTTTTTTCATAAGCTCAGCGTGACACAGAGAAGGATTAAGCACACATAGATAATAAGAAAATGTCAAGAACAGCAGGAAACATTTTTTTTTTTTTCCTAAATGCAAGAGTTTCAGAGGAGCAGGGGCCAGTCTGGAGCTCTCCAAAATGACATTTCTGTTCATGCAATGGCTTCAGCAGTGCCTGGCTCACCAGCTTTGTGAATTAACAGTGTGCTCACCCAAACTGGCAGACAAAAAGGGTGGAAACCCAAAAGAAAAAAAGTGCAGGACAAAGGGAAAAACTTTTTATGCTGTATTTTCTGAACCATTTTCCCTTTGATACCTCTCACCAGCCTCTTCTCCACACACACCAGTTTCTATCATTTCAACACTGAGTTGCTGGGGTCATTATTTATGGCCAAATCCTCTCCTTTTTTTCCTTTTTTTTCTCCTTTTTCTTTGTTTTTTTTTGTTTTGTTTTGTTTTGTTTTGTTTGGGGTTTTTTTGGGTTTTTGTTGTTGTTGTTGTTGTTGTGGGGTTTTTTTTGTTATTGTCTTGTTTTGTTTGGTTGCTTTGGTTTTGGTTGTTTGGTTTTTAGCTTTTGGGGGTTTTTTGTTTTGTATTTTTGAGTTTTTTCTTTGGTTTTTTTTTTTTTTTTTGCTTGGGATTTTGTTTTGTTCTTTGTTTTGTTGCAGGTTTGTTTTTGTCTCGATTATTTTCACCTCTTTGGTTTTTCTCCCATTTTTTTCCACAGTGTGGTGGGAGAGGGTTTCCTTCCCCAGTTCCTCCCAGGCCTGCTGTGATGGGATCTGCATGGAAAAAAAGGGGTTTTATTTTAATCATTCCATGCTTAAAATGAGCCTCTGGTTCTCCAGAAATGTTTTCTGCCCAGGCAGTGGCTCTGTCCCAGAGCCATCAATTAGAGAACAGATAGAAAAGGAGCATTACTGTTATGGATTTGCAAATCCCACTACGTGGCCTGGCTTATGCTCTGTCTTTATGTTACTAATGCCCATTTAGCTGATTGACCCTGTGACTCCAGCAGCAGATTGAATTTGCTTTGTGGAAGGTTGGGCTGGTTTTTTATTTACCTCTTTTAGCTCTCCTTATTAAAACTTGGGGTTTTAATAAGGAGAGAATGAAGAATAATTAAAAGAAAAATATGTATGGTTAAAAACAAGTGAGTTACGAATTTTCTAGAGGAAGAAAAATTAGAGTGAGATGTTACATTCTAGATTAAAATGAAATACCATTTACCATATATGCAGCTATATGCATGGCCAACATGGCCTAAACATTTTTCACAGCAATCAAAGAAAAACCATGGTCAAAAAAGGAGGAATTTTAAAATATAAATTGGTTAAAATTCAGGTTTAAAAATTTCAGGTTTAAAAATTTCAGGTTTAAAATTCGTTAAATTTCTCAGTACTTGAGCAAGAGTCTCTTCAAGTTTCACTTCCTTGCCCTATCCTGCTCTGAGGCTATTTCAGAAGAGAAATGCACAATAACTGCACATTAACTCCTTAACCTCACCCATTCAGAGGCGAATTTGCACCATTTCCTCCTCTGAGTTGTATTTTCTGTGCCACAGAGGGCAACTTACTGGTGGTTAACCACAGCCCCAGCAGATTGCATAAACTCAACTTAAACACCTCAGGCACAGGGGGAGTCCTGCAGGCAGCACTCCTCCATTTAATAGCTGCAGCTTTGTTTTTACAGGAAAAAAAAAAACATTCCTGGGCCCCATCCACTCAGAAAAGTGTTTCCAACTCAGATCTAGAAGTGTCACCTCGGATGTGGAAATTTCCACATTATTAAATTGTATAATAATAATAATAATAATAATAATAATAATAATAATAATAATAATAATAATAATAATAATTTTACTTTTTAATATTTTAATATTTTTAATATTTTTAATATTTTTAATATTTTTAATATTTTTAATATTTTTAAAATTTAAATAGTTGCAATGGCCCAGACCAGGTGTCCTTGGGTTCTGCCTCTGTCCCCACCCAGATGCCTAAAGGAAAATCAAGATCATGGCAGGAGGGATGGAGGGAAGGCCTTTGTGGCACAGGAATCTTTTGAACCAGAGGATGCATCTTCCTCCTTATTTAAAAAAAAAAAAAAGAAAGAAATCAAGAGCCATTAGCTTTTAATGCACCTTGATTTCATCCACCCAACTTGCTCATAACATCTGTTTTGAAAAGCCAAAAAAGCATCCTCAGACCTAAATGCCATTTTACTCTCAAAGCCAGCAAAAAGTTTGTGTCTTGGAGTGACTCAAAGTGAAACAGTTTGGCAGGAGGTGCCACTGCTCTGGTGATGTCACAGGAAATAAGTGCTGCAACTGAGGAGTCAAAAAGAAATATATATTTCCAGGGACTTTAGCCAAGCTAAGGAAGCTTGCTTCTATTTTAAAATATCAGCTTGCTTTTCCAAGCCACCTGCAAAATTGTCTGGATGGATCCTGGCCCTTAAACACCCACAAAAATGTTGAGTTTGGGTGTTCTGAAGGCCAGATCCTTTTTCCAGGATGGAGAAGATGCTGCAGTGAGGGCTGGAGGCTCCTTTGGAGAGCTCAGACCATCAATGCAGGGACACCCAGTGCACCCCAACCCCCACTGCAGGTGCTTTTTGTCCTTTTCAGGAGCACATTTGGACACTTTTGGCTCGTTCCACTGGCTCAGGGGATGCAAACACAGCTGGCAGGCAGCCAGCCAAGGGCATCCTCTCTCACAGGCAGGGAGAAGGGCACTGCCCTGGGGCTCTCTCATCTTGGTAGTGTTTTTTCCCAAACCTTCAGCCTAAAAGCCTCCTCCTCCTCCTGTCTCTGTCCTCCCCTCACCTGCTGAGTGCCAACCATCCCTCTCTGGATTTCTCTCCAATGCTAATAGACTCTTGTCCTAATGCTTCCTCTGTTCCTACAACACCACCATGTTCCTTTTATCCCTGATGCTAATGGGCATATTTAACTTATTTCAGAATGGCCTCATGAATCAGCAATTTTATCCTGCTTGCTCTATTCCAAAGCCCAGATCTCAGCACAGATAAGCAATTGTCCAACAAGGGATGAATCAGAGCAACCTGACCCTGTGTAAACCAGTGTGCTTCATTGTGCTGAGCAGGAATAGAACCCAGCTCACATTCCTCTTATCTTCATAAACAAAGTAAGGAGGAAATTTCTTCCTTAGGCTCTTGTTGCCTCTGCCAGGACTCCAAAAGTCCAGTTCTCTGAGAAATTCTGTGCCCCCAAACCAAATTATTCATTGGACCCTCTTTTACAAGTAGTACTGCTGGCTGTTTTTCTTCATCTTAATGCAAAAGAGAAATAAAACTGGGAATGGTTATTTCAGATGGAATGAGGATCTTGCTCTTCTGCCTTGGAAACAGTCTCAAGATACATGAAGGAAGAAGTAAAATAGCACTGAAGAGAAGTGATAATTATGCAAGTTTAAAAAAAAAGAAAACCATTCAAAATGGGAAAAATTGCCAATAAAGATATTCCAATACCACTCCTAAATCTTTGACTGCTGCTCAGTCCTGATGCTATCACTGTAGGGTGAGAACCACTGTGGGATGTTACATTGCAAATGGTTTTTTCCCCTATTTTAAGCTTGGGGAGCACTTGGAGCAGGTGAGCCAGGTGCTCATGCTTTGCCCTTTTGTTTCATTCTGCCTCTTGGCACAATCATTTTTTGGTGTTTGGAACTTTATACTCCCCTAATAGTTGAACTAAGTCTTTGCATTCATGTGCCTGTTCAAGCATCAAGTCTTGTACTTTGGGAGGAAAAAAATCTTCCTGGCCAAAGGAACACAAATCCAACCGTGGGGCCCTCATGCTGGCAAATCCTTTGTCAATACCTACTTGGCTTTAAAAGTGCTGATTTTAGACAGAAATGTTTGTGGGATCAGGGCCAGTGGCTGTGTTTGTAATTACTCACCTGTGCCTCGTGGATATTCTGTTTTTCAGCATTTTATCCCAGCAGGACAGTGAGGAGAACACTGCCCTGGCTTTGTCCTAACTGATCCTGGTCTTTATGTGGGG